ATTGCATTAAAAAGTAACAGTGGGTCTCTTTTTTTTTTTTTTTTTTTTTTATAGTTTCTGAAATGTATTTAAATTTTCGAATTGAGAAAAGTGGACATTATTTTGGAATTATCCTAAAAGAAAGTAGGCTAAGCATATCCTACTGAGAGTGTAATTATATTATCCTCCAACTCTAAACAGTCGAGCTCAAGTGTTTGTTATCAAAAGAAAAGCAAACACTAAAAAGACCTTGTCCTCCACTTTGTATTTCAACACGAGTGTATAATTATCCCGTTCAACTAACTTGGACGGGTTAAAACGGATTCAGAGGGTGCAGTCCAAAATTTGATGGATGAATTGGTAAAGATGAGTTGAGACAAAATACTTTTTGAAAAAACAAAGAAAAGAAATGACGAAGTACTTACTAAAGAAAAAGATCAGATTGGTCAAACTGTTCTAAGTGATAATACACCCCCCTCAAGTTCGGATAGTAAGGGGTCGTTTGGTAGGGTGCATAAGAATAATGCTGAATAGAGTGTATTAGTAATGTTGATATTAGTTATGCTTGCATTAGTTATGCTGGTATTAGTTATGCTGACATATTTCTTATCCATTGTTTGGTTTGATGTATAAAAGAATTGTTTGTTTACAAAAATGCCCTCAAAACCAGTCCATCACTTTAACTTTCTAAATGAAACATATGTTGAGAAATATTTTTATATGAAAAAGTTTTAAAAAAATTATTTAATTTGTCTACCTATATTGTAAAATAGAACTAAATATTTATTTATAAAAAAGGAAATATGCTAAGTATTTATTTATTTACTAGGGCTATAATTTTATTTCTCACTATTTGGATTATTTTAAACTTCCATCAATATAATAACTAGTATATTTTAATCAAGCATAAATGTTGAAGGACAATTTTGTCTTTAACTAAGCTAATGCTTGCATTAAAACCCATTGCATTGCTAATACCATTGTTTTCTATGCATTAGTTATGCATAGGGTAATACCAAATAGGATGTATAACTAATGCATAGGTTCAAAATATCTACCAAACAATGTATTATTAATACACAAAGCTAATGCATGCATTATTTTATCTAATGTATCCTACCAAACGACCCCTAACTGGATTCTTCAAAACCCTTAGGCTATCAAATATATGGTTGGGTCAAACGATTAAGACATTGCTCATATCTTGATGGTTTAGCAGTAAGCAATACTTACCTGCTCAAAATGACACAATTAACCAAAAAATGCAATCACGTGTGTGTGACGGCAAAACGCATCAGCTTTAAAATTAAAATGACCTTTTTTCTTGAATGAGATTATTATAACTGAAAGTAGACATGGAGTAGTATCTTCTATTCATGATATAGAGGTCCTTGAATTTACAAGAGGACGTTGAAAGTTGGTGAACATCTTTCTTTAAACAGTAGGCGGACATCAAAAGTTATTGTACTTATGTAAACAGTAGATGCACACAATAAATTCTTTTTTATCTTTCAACAGCTCAATTCCACACACAACTGCGGGAGTACCACAATCGAGGGGATTCCCCTTGGCATCTCTGCAGTCTAACATCTTGGACCACCCCTTTCTAGCCATGTCCTCCTCCTTCCAGCAGAGACATTGTGTTTGAGCAACTGATTCTGCTGTTAGGGTGAGTAATTAAGTGATTTATAGGGAATACAGTTGTAGTTTGCAACTGTTATTGCCCATAAAAAAATATAATTGTCTTTTACGGATCATCACAAGCCCTATTTTAATTCTTAGAAGTTTTTTCTTCTAAAACGTAGATGATTCATGCCCCTTTGTGGCTTAGTTGGTGTAATATATGGGAATTAAGATGAAATGTGTTTTCAGCTGTGTATGAAGCATCAAAGACGAGGAGAAAGAAACTATATCGCTATTCTTTATTTTAATGTAACTAGTAAAGACCAGTCTTGATTTGAGCATATGCTTATTTGTGCAACAAACTGAAAAGAAATGATACGTGACCTTATCTGACAAGCTAATAGCATTTCACAGCCAATTTCTGATTGCTGATAACAGTGACTGAATCGTGGAGCCTTAATTTCTGCATGGAAAATTTTATGTATGCCAGATTCCTCTTCTTCCCGTTTTTATTTGCATTTTGGGTTAAAATTTAAAGAATTTTAGTTATATGTGACAGTGTAATTTCTTACATTATTAATGTGATATAATCTGTTATTAGGAAGTTATTTAGTATTGTTTTTTTAGGTTATTAATCAATACTTTAATAAAAAGTTACGTAGTTTCATTTCAAGTGACCTGATGGTCAAAATTTGACATTGTGCGGGTACATTGGGAAGTGCTCAATTTATTGTAATAATGCCAACTATACTATCCATAGCCACTTGCAACTGAAAGGTGAGATGAACGTTGAAATATCCTAGGTACTTGAAACCTTAGCCATGGCCATCATTTCATGAACTAAATCCTCTATGAACTTGCATTGTATATCCTTGTTCAACAGAAACTCCTTCCATTTCTTCTGATTTTCCCTAATTAATTTACCGGGCTGCTTGTCAATCTCCACCATCACCATCTCCGCAGCTTCCTTAATGTCTTCTTTACCAAAATATCCATCTTCATCTCTCCTATTTACCTCCACCCCAGCTTTCATATCCCCACTCACCAGCTTTGCATTCAGAAACTGGTCACCTTTCTGGGGCAACATAACTACTTGACAGTCATTCACTAGTGCCTCTATCACTGAACTGAACCCTGCATGACATACATAGCAACCTACGCTAGAGTGAGCTAATATATGCTGTTGTTGCACCCAACCTGAATGAATTATTCCCTTGTCTTTAACTCTTTCTAGAAACCCTTGTGGTAAAGCTCGGTTTAACTCGACTGAGAAATCGACATTGGCAGGAAAATTTAGGACCAGAAAGAAAGGTAGCCCAGTTTGCTCCAGACCTAAAGCCAGTTCTTTGATTTGTTCATCCTTCAAGAAAGTTTCACTTCCAAAAGAACAGTAAATGACTGTTCCAGCTTCAAAC